CATCCAGGTAATCTACCATTTTCACTTGGATTATAGCTTCCATTCTTTTTCCAGTAATGCTAGTTAAACTGATTGGCCTATAGTTTGCTGGATTACTTCTATCCCCTTTTTTGAATATGGGTGTTATATTAGCATGCTTCCAATCTGAAGGTACCGCACCCGCAGATAACGATTTCTGGAATATTAAAGTTAAAGGTTGGCTAAAAATATCCCTCTTCTCTTTTAAAACTATAGGTAAGATGCCATCAGGGCCCTGCAATTGAATTATTTTGAGTTTAGCTAGACTTAGTACCACATCAGCCTCAGTATTACATATATTGGTCATAGACGACGCTGTATTCGTGCCAATTGGTGGTAAGTTACTCGTATTCTCTACTGTGAACACCTGTAAAAAAATAATCATTAAACTCATTTACTATATCAATTTCATTTTCAATTATAAGGCCCTTACTATACTTCAAATTAGTGATTTCAGCTTTTAGAGCTCTTCTGGAGTTAAAATATCAGAAGAAACTTTTATTGACATCCTTAGCCTCCAATGCAATTTTTCTTTCTACATCCCTCTTGGACAGTCTAATGTTATTTTTTAACTGTACCTGTAGACTTAGATACTTCTGCTTAATTTTGAAATCATTAGTTATTTTCCAATTGGGGAACAGAGCCCTTTTCCTCCTAACTTTATTCTTAATTTCCTTAGTAAACCACCTTGGTTGTCGTTTCCTAGATTTAGTTTTGCTGGAAACAGGTATGAAGTCCTCTTGCACTTGTAACAACTTGCTTTAAAAAAAATCCCCTCTTCAACTGTTTTGCTATTTAACTCCATCCAGTTTACAGTTTCTAGTTTCAGTATCATACCATTAAAGTTAGCCTTCCTAACATTGTATACTTTTAATTTCGACTTTGCTCTTCGAACACTCAAAATTAACCTTGAATTTAACCATGTTGTGATCACTACCGTCCAATGGTTCTAAAATCTCTAATTTTCCAATCCTTTCCTGGGGTTATTATTAGAGAAAACAAGATCAAGAAGGGCTTCTCCCCTGGTAGGGGTATTAACAAACTGAGTAAAAAACAATCCTGTACTAATTCCACCATCTCAAGTTCATTTACAGAAGAGCCAGAGAATGTGTCCCAATGTATCCCAGGTAAATTAAAATCATCCATAACCACCGCATCATTTTTATTAGATTGTAGATAGGAAGTACTGCGTGACCATACACTGTATAACTCTGCACTATAAATTTATAGTAATTAACTGGCAGCAGCTTCGCCTGCAATGTACTGTATTTTTTTACAATTGTTTACTGTATTTTCAAATAATGGTGTATTACTAGAAATAAATATAGTTCCTTACTGTATTATAAATTTACAACTAAATACTGGTCACTGTTTTCAATAAATTGCTGTATATTTATAGCTACAGTAACTGTATTTAACTCTTGTTGGAGTCTAACTCCGCCGGGTCCGTTGATGAGAAGAGATTCACTGCACACACGAGGAGTAGTTGCAAGTCACCAGTTTATCGTCTATTCTGATTGCAATCTGGGAGCACCCATCTCACATACATACAGCATGTACAGCAAGAAGGTTAAGCTCAAACCACCTGTATCGGTTCTGCCCCTTTATAGGCCTTCTGGGGTGTCAACCCCCCTTCTTCCTCGGTACTTTCCCCTGCTCGGCTGGTGACCACAACACACTCTTGACCTTTTGTTCTATCCATCTAGTATCTATCTTAATATAAATGTTCTGACGTTATAGTCTAGTTTGCCAGCAAGCCCTTTAGCCAACAGGTTCTTTAGCCAGCAGGTTCATGTCCCCCACCTCTTGTCTAGCACTTGATTAAAATAAGCGTCGGTTAAATGATGAACTGATGAGTTCCTGTTTTTGTGCACATTCTATTCTTACCGATACGCACCAGCATGGATGAGATCTTTCCATCATGCGGGCCCAGTCTCAATTCCCCTTTCTGTTTTTAGAGAAGCTGTTCTGTTTAAGATTAATGGCTGCATAGGTATTGGCTGCATAGGTATTTTGATATTAGATGTTAGTACTTGCATATGTTTGTTATTAGACATTAGTAGCTATGCAGACGTACTCAATCATTTACCCCTCACTCTACAAAACGTATCTTGTGTTTACTAATAATTAAAGACTGTTACTGTATACTAGTACTATAACGACAATAATAAAATGAAACAGTGACAATATTCATGACGCAGTTCCTTTTCAAATACAGTGGTACCTCGGTTCTCCAACTTAATCCGTTGCGAACTCCGGATCGAATCCTAAAAACTTCGAGTTCTGATAGAATTTTTCCCATAAGAAATAATGGAAAACCAATTAATTGGTTCCCGGCCCCCCAAAATTACACCTAAATATATTTTTATTTTTAGCATTTAAACACAAAATGAACAGGATAAAACAAGA